AGGAACAAGAGTAATTAAAAGGTACAGATGGATGGTCAGAAATATTTCTGTTAAGCTTTTGTAGACCGCAAATATAACACAATATAAGACAAATAGTCTTCTTCTTCTTTCTTATCTCCACACTGGGTGAAGTAGAATGCGTCTGCCTTTGTCATTAAGACTGGGACCACTACTCAGTGGCAGGCCGACTTAGCTCCAAAATAAATGGCCGCCTCTGACATGAGGAACAGACGCCATGTACAGCCGCTCCTAACATGGAGTACAAACGCTGCTCATCCTGTATTCCTGGATTAGGAGCCCTTACAGGGTACTATCAGCCGGGCCAGCTGAACCCAGGTTTTTTAGTGAGCTTGTTACTGCTCCCCCTCCTCCTTTTTCATCCGGGCTTGGGACCGGCAAGGGCGGAGTTAGACAAATAGTGAACCTCATTACTTGGGTCATGTTGTTAGAACCACGGTTAAAATAATTGGGACTTTAACATTAGGATGTTATTCTCAAGTTTGGGTGTTTCAATGAGGTTCCACTGTATGAGATGCTAATAAGACATTGGACTATGTAGAAGTGAGTAAAGCCCAGTGTGAGAGCAGCTAATCCATCACCACATGTGCTGTGGCATCTGTAATCCTTCCATTCTGGAATATCCTCCCTCTGCTGCTTTGTCAGTCACACACACCACAGGAAGGAGAGAATTTAAAATTGTGTTTTGAGAAATACACTTTTTAAACCTAACACTCTCCCAATAATACCTTTCTGAATATAGGAAGGTTTAAATAGAACATGCTGTAAATATGATAACCTCTTCAATTCAACTGTTATATCTACTTTTCAACTAATTGGACACAAAATTGTTTTTTTTTAAATCACAATCATGCAGATTGTACAGCTTCAGAGCTTCACAAGCTTGGACAATTTGGAAAAGTCCACAACCTCATACCATTGCAATTTTCTTATCAGTACAGAGAAGGAGTTATGAAATAGCAGAGTTTCTGCAAAAAGTGTTTTCAGCTGGTAAAATGATGTGCCAATTTTATTCAAAAATATCAGGAAATTGGGGTGAAAATGACCTTATATGTATGTTGTTGTTGTTAGTGTCCATCAATTCAAGTTCGGCTTTTGGATATGGATTAATAATTAATGACATTCACTTGTAGCTCATCTAGTGACCTTCCGGTAGATTTCCCCTCTTCCTTTAAATTTTCCTAACATCACCATCTTTTCTAAACCAATTGCTCTCATTCAATGTCTGAAGTAGGTCAGTCTTTGTTTACATATTTGGGATTCGAGGGATCTAACAAAAATAATTTGATTTAAGATTGAAATATTTGACCTTTAATCTGTCCATGGGATTCTGAGTAGGCTTCTCCACGTCCACATTTCAAAAGCTTCAATTCTTTCTATTTTCTCAATGTCCAGCTCTCCCATTTATAGGTGACCTCAGGGAATACTAATGCCTCTACAATTCATTTCTCAGTCTTGAAGGAAATACCTTTTATCTTTTACTAATTGAATTCTGTTCGAAGTGTTTGACAACAGGAGGCTGACCCCGGCACTCTTTTAGGTGTTAGAATTATGATAATAGGATAACTTATAATTACAAGTAACACTTCTCTTTATGAAATGTATATCATGTTTATCAGTTAGCAGGTTTTCGCATTTCTATTCAACAATTTGCCTAGGCTGACATTAATTTGTGATATACAAAGTGGCAGCTCTTGTTGGCCTCTTCTAGTTTGTGAAGGTGGCCAAACTATGGTTTGTGATATCTCCAGCTCACCTGATATTCTGTTGAGTTCTAGTTGCTGGATATGCCCCACATTATGGCAGACAGTGTCATTTGATTCGCAGCCTACCAGGCCTTGGATTATCTTCAAAGTACATGTCAAGTGAAATTTCTTGAACCATCTGATTGTGGCTTCAGGAACCCTTTCACACGACAAATGTTCCTTGTTCTTTCTTACTGACTCTATTCAAAGTGAATAAAAAGAAAGGAATGAGGGCAAACTATGATAGAATACTTTTGTGCTTTAGAAAGAGGTATAACATGCTAGAGAAACAGTTCAAATAATTAAGATAGGCTGCTGCTAAAAGTATTAAGTGTTGTAAAACTTTCTGTTCTCACCATTTATGACTGTATATTGGGGCTAGTGTTGATCTTTGAGAAACCCTCTAATGTTACATATATAGAAAAGTGAACACATGAATATATTAGAGAAACACATCTCCTGATTGTGCAACTAAAAGTTTCAGATTATTCCTGTGTCATCTGTTAAAATGTATATCAACTAATCATTGATTTTTTATTATTCCAGTGTTGGCCAGATACATTTTCTTGATTAATTTAAGAAAAACAAAATACATAGGCATTTCAGACTGTTGACCCTCATCAGTGTGGTACAAGCTGTACCTCAAAGACCAAAAAAGCTGGTCTTTGAGGCTTCTTTAAAAAATCAAGAAATGGGTATTTAAGGCCATAAGAGCATAAGAAAGCCAAACTATATGAAAAATAGTAGAAAAGTGAGAGAAACTAGTGAGTACAGGTTGATAAATTATATAAGGCATCTCTTGGTTGTGTAACTAAAAGTTGCTGATGGGTTGCGCCTACTGTCGGAGGTATCAACAAGATGTAGTTGAACATGGAGAAGTCACATTTCTCTCAGCTATAGACTTTAAAATAAAACTAATTCTGGACTAAATTTTTTAGTTTGAAAATAATGATGATGATATGGATGCATCATATTTGAGGCAAATAATTTTTTTTTATCTAACTAAATATGATTAGATTACACACATCATGCACATTTTTTAAAAAGTAAGAAGCCCTGTGATAGCAACATTACTTTCGAAACAATTACCTTCAATTTACTTCCTAGTTGAAATTTAAAATTTTATTGGCACCCATACTATACCAAATATTACTTTGAGAAATACACTTAGTCCATGGGTTGTTGTTTCTTATCCTCTTGTGCAAAGATTACACGAATTCCATGAGGAGTCCAATCAAGTTAATGGGTTCTTGACAAGACACTGTTCTTCCATCTGACCTTCTCTAGTGATTGATCCCGCCCCGTACAGTACAGGATCCATGAGGGATGGTGTGGGAAGGCCAACTGAACATGTGTGCCTAGCGGTGTGTGAGCGGTGTGGCAACGTGGGGGTGAAGCATGCCTTCTACTCCAAGTCCAAGCGCTACTGCAGCCTGGCCTGTTCTCGGGCTAGCAACACCCCAGGCACCCCCACCCCTCCCTCACTAGCCCCCACCAAGACCTCCTCCTGCCATGTTAAAGCTTCCTACAAGAGGCCCATTATGGTTGCAGCTGCTATGAAGAAGAAGCAAGGAGGCCCCCACCCTAAAAAGATCAAACATGGTACGATTGATTAGATTTTGACATAACCCCCATTAGCATTTATAAGAGGGTCGTTACTTTGTTCAACACCTCAGGATTATGCCAAGTTTCACAAAACTGCAGCAAATTTTCGATAATTCAAACCTCTCTAATGTGAATTTTTGACGACTCAAATTTTAAATAGTTTCTGCCCCCCTTGGATGATAAAAATTACTTCATCAATTTGAAATTTTTATATAATTTTTTCAAGGCATAATTTTCAACAAAATTCTAACTTGAGAGCACTATATTACAAATCCACACATCATCTTTATTCAGCACACAATCAGTCTATTTTATCAATTGATTTTGTATAAGGTTTAGATTACATTTTTCATTAATTTGGTCTTGTTACCTTATGTTTCTGATTTTGAATACATTATGTTATAATTATCAGTTATATATATATATATATATATATACAATTTGTGCAGTTTAAAAAACTTGTTTTTCAAAATTAGGAGTAATTTTAATTAAACAATGCCACAGGTTTTCTGGAGATGAGTTTCTTCTCATTTCCAGGTCGGTGGAAGGCTGGTAAACCGTTTGGTTTTCGACCACTATGACCCGGGTTCGATTCCCGCATTGGACACTTTTTTCTGTTTAAAAAAAAAATGCTCCAATGGCCCCCGATTCTTGCAAAAGTCCAACCCCACCAGCGAGTGCAAGTAACCAAACGGGGCTCTGGCATATTTGTAAGTGCAAAGTCGAACTGCTTTACACATGTGTAGACATGTGGTGCGCACAGTAAAAAAGCAGTCGCTAACTACCCACCATGATTATCATGGCCTGTACCACGTGTACTAGGGATAAGCAAAAAAAAAAATTATTGCAATCTCGAGATTTCGGGCACTTCTACCCTTCTAGAGGAGTACACAAAAATGAATAAATAGGAATAATAATCAATTCTGTGGAAAAATAAAAACTCTTATCCCTTAAAGTCCTAAATTAAAAATCATTGAAGAAGTAGAAGAGTACACAAGTAGTTGTCCGCATTGGACACTTTTTTCTGTTAAAAAAAAAAAAATGCTCCAATGGTCCCCGATTCTTGCAAAAGTCCAACCCCACCAGCGAGTGTAAGTAACCAAACGGGGCTCTGGCACATTTGTAAGTGCAAAGTCGAACTGCTTTTCACATGTGTAAACATGTGGTGCACTTACAGTAAAAGCAGTCGCTAACTACCCAAGATGATCATCATGGCCTGTACCACGTGTACTAGGGATAAGCAAAAAAAAAAAAAAACAAGTAGTTGTATGGTGTTCCTATATATTTAATAAATGCTATTTAAAAGAAACATAAGAAATTAAAAAATATTGTTTTTTTTTAATCTCTAGAAACATCCCTAGTATCCCCCTAGTACATGATAATCATGGTGGATAGAAGTTGGCGACTGCTTTTTACAGTAAGTGCGCCACATGTCTACAGGTATATTAGCCAATTTACATTTTGGAAATATCCTTAAAGCCAGAAGAGACTTTATTTATAAGGATCAGGCAGACAATGACTATCCCTCTATCAGTGCCACTTGCTATAATATATTGTCACTAAAACCTGGCAATGATAACTATCACCAAAAACTGACCGGTGTTCTCCAAATTTAAATATCAAAATTCGACAGCACCGAAATAGTTCAGTTGGGAGAGTGTTAGACTGAAGATCTAAAGTTCCCTGTTTCGATCCCGGGTTTCTGCTTCTTTTTCTGCATTTCACATGTGTAAACATGTGGTGCACTTACAGTAAAATATAGTGAAAATAAAGTGAATACAAAACAATCAACATATATAGTCACGACCGTCTTTCCTCAATTCCTCATCGCTGTCACGGATGCGCGCGCATCATCATCATGATCATTATCATTATCTAATGATAATAATAATAATTATTATTAGTATATTATTATTATTAATATATATAGTCACGACCGTCTTTCCTCAATTCCTCATTGGCCGCTGTCACGGATGCGCGCGCATCATCATTATGATCATTATCTTCTATAGAAGCTTCTATCTTTATAGTTATGTATACACTTGGTTCTTTTTTTATGCGGTAGATGCGTTCCAGGGGAATCCGCATAAAAAAAAATCGCACAAAAAAAGACATACATTTATATGTAAAATGATGGATACGTTCCATTTATTAAAAAAATCGCATAAAACCTAAATAATGTTTTAAAATGCACCAGAAATCGCATAAAAAAGATTTATAAATAATAAGATTTAATTTTTTTCTCATCATATTTTAATAAATGGCACATATGTGTGTTAATAACAAAAACAAAACTTAATATGTAAAAAAAAAAACTTAAACAAAACTTTATTTAAAATCATATTAAGAATGTTTTCATCATTATTCGCTGTCTGATAATGTGCGAACCCGTTTGTGGATTGGTGCAAGATCACTTTCATCACTTGAAGATAAAATTACGTCATCAGATCTACATGGTAATGCTTCTTTAGGAACTTCAGTGATTTTTTTTTTTCTTTGACAAGGTAGTCAGTAATCAAACGCTGTGATGGCTTGACTAGTTCTTTGTAGAGTTCTCTGTAGCCAGACATACAAAATTTCAGATCACGTTGGAATTTTAAGGCGCGTTCTACATCATTATCATTTTGAATAAAAAAATTTTCCAATTTACCGGAAAGTTGAAGGCCTTCCCGAAGTAATTTTTCGTCCAGTGGAGTAACATCTTCCAGTTCGCTATCTACACACACTGTTTCGAAATCTTTAGTAGTATCTACCATACTTTCCAAAATATCATCAACATTTAGGGCTTCGTCCACAAGCAATTCTTTTATATCATGCTCGCCAAAATCATCAAAACCTTCCCCACCTATTTCCTTAGCAATTGAAATAATATCTGATGTTACGATTGTTGTTCTATTTGATTCATTTCTCTTTGATACACATTCAGGCCAAGCAGCTTTCCAACATGCATTTAAAGTTTGTGATTTTATCTCGGCAATTGCTAATGCAACATGATCTACACAGTTCAAGATATTAAATTGTTTCCAAACTTCAGTAACTGTTATTGTATCGGATTCCAGTTTATCGAAAATGAATTGGAAAGTGAATTTTACATAATATTTTTTAAATGTTGAAATAATTTCCTGATCCTAATGGTTGAATTAGGCTCGTTGTGTTTGGAGGGAAAAAAACTACCTTTATATTTGGATGTTCTAAGTTTGGATGACCTGGTGCATTGTCAAGAATTAATAAGATCTTAAATTCGAGACCCATCTCTTTCATATAATTTTCTACTTCGGGTACGAAGCATTTATTGAACCATTCAGTGAAAATAGCCGTTGTTACCCAGGCCTTCTTGTTTGCCATCCAATGTACGGGCAGTGTATTTAAGTCTTTTCCTTTTAATGCACGTGGTTTTAAAGATCGATTTACAAGCAGCGGTTTTAACATTCGATCGCCAGATGCATTGCTGCACAGCAATAAAGTAACTCGATCTTTAGCAGCTTTAAAACCACTGGCATTTTTTTCGGACTTTGCATTGTAAGTACGGGTTGGCATTTTTTTCCAAAACAATCCTGTTTCATCAGCATTGAAGATTTGATGGGCACAATATCCTCCATCTTTAATAATTTTAGCCAACTTTTCAGGATATTTTCTAGCAGCTTCTTCATCTGCAGAAGCCACCTCACCTTTTATTTTTAGATTATGAAAAGAATGTCTTTTTATAAAACCAGTTAACCACCCTGTGCTGGCAGAGAATTGTGGATTACTTTCACGTGAAGATGTAGATGGCTCTGATTCTTTTAACTCCTTGTAAAATTTAAGGGCTTTCATCTTGATTAAATGTCCATCTAACGAATTCTTTTTTGAGTTAAATCTTCAATCCAAATTACGAGAGCCTTTTCTGTTTTTTCTATTAAAGTGCCTCTTGAATATGATGAAATTTTAGAACTCAAATTTGTACCAGATCTGACTGATCTTCTTATTGCCGCTTCATTTTTTTTTATTGCTCTTATAGTAGATTCGCCTAAATTATAACGTTTACCTATTGCTCTTGATCTTTCTCCTTTCGCCAAGCAATCGAGAATTATAATTTTGGTTTCTAGCGAAATTGCACTTCTTTTTTGTTTTTTATTATTGTCACACATTTTCTTTAAGAGGACTAAAAATTATAGAAAAAACTTAATGTACAATTACGCACTAAAATTATTCAAAAAAACTTACAATTCACTTGAGTAAATTTATCTTCCGGTTTTCGGTAGTAACCTTCTTTCACAAAGTTTTATTTTCTAATGCTTTCCAATATGCAGGCTTTTTTAATTAGTTTCATACAAAAACAAAATGCAGCATAAAAACACGCAATTTTAACGAGGTATTTTTGTTTTTGTCTCTTTTGTTTTTAAGAACAAATCAAGAGAAAACATGTCAATAAAAGAAAAAAGAAATTTGTAACGGCAGCTGGCACGCCGGCGGGTTTTCAGTTTTGATTTCGGTTTTGCACGAGTTGTGTAAGACACCGGCAGGCGCGGAATAAAAGACATTGGAACTTCCCCTCTACTGTTTGTTGGATAACTTAACATACAACCAGGACGTTACAAAATTCTTTCTTTGTATTGATTGCGTAATAGTAGAGTTGTAGTTGTTATTCTTATTCGTTTTCAGAAAAAGTGAATCACCAAAAAAAAATTTTCAAAATTCGAATAATTTTTTTTTTTCTTGCACCGCATAACTCCAAAACCGCATTTAAAAAAAACGCATAAAAAGAGAACGAAGTGTATTTACAAAAAGTCAATTCGCTCGCGCCTCTAGCGGTGAAAATGAGGGGTAATACCAGCTGACCTAATGTACATGTAAAGTTTGGAGCGGGACGTTTCACAAGAGTGACATCCACGGCTCCAATTTATAATTGTAACAAATAGTATTTGAATAAAAACATTCAATCGGGTAAAACACAGGCGTTGCCCGGGTCATTCGGCTAGTATTATATATACAGTAGAACCTCCCTTTAACAGACACACCGCTAGCAGACACCTCTCTAGAAAGGACAGTTTTCATTTGCAAAATTACCATTTTTACTATCTAGTAACTCTCCGGTAAGAGGACACCTCTCCCTAAAGGAACTTTGGCTCTGCAATTAGGTGTCCTTTACAGGGAGGTTCTACTGTATATATATAATACAAAATGAATATTAAAAATAGCTTCCATCTACCCCAATATGTGTTGGCATGCCAAGAAGGGACATTGCAGTGTTGTTTGGAGATCTATTGGTTTCATGCCAGTCTGGAGAGTTAGATGGTCGTTTCTCCTTGATTCTGGGTGAAATGTTTCCTCTTAGAGAAGAATGAAAGCACATTGCTGGTTTCTCTAGAGGCTTCATTGTGGAATGTTCTATTATTGCTGGGTTTGTGCTAACTCTTTATGTGACATAGGACTTGTATCACAAGTTTTGATGAACAATCTCCATTTTGGGTTGTTGTGCACTTAGATATCTCTGGCTCCCATGAACTCCTCTATTGAGATCTGTAGGTGGAGTATCTGAGTGCCATGGAGCTGATTGATACATAGTAATTATACAAATAATTTATTTAAAAACATTTTTATAAACCTTCTTTGAATAATAGCCATGGTCAATCCCATATTATTATATGATATTCACATGACAATCCCATATTGATATTCAACATTAATGTATGGGGATATGGTCAATTTAGGGAATTAAAACAAAGTGTACATATTATTAAGATATAGCCCTTTTTCTCTGTTTCTCTTTTAATTATACAATACAAAATTTTGAAGAAAAAAAAATCCAAAACATGGCTATAGTGAACCAATAGTTCAGTTCCGTTGGGGTTCAATATAAAAGGATTTTGCATACACATCTATATCTAATACAGTCGAACCTCTTTAATTCAACACCCCAAGGGATCAGAGCTTTCGGTTGAATTAAAGGAAGTGTTGAATTAAGGTTAGATGATTAGCTAATCATCTAACTCACTAAAATAATATTTTTTAAAAATTGCTCTGTAATATAAATTAATGATATTAATTGAAACAATTGTATGTACTTTTTTGTATTATTTTTTATTTTAATGATTATTTTTTAGTATCAGGGACAAAATGGCAATAATACATATTTTTGAAACATAAATGATTACAAATAATATTTTATTCTAATTGAAGATTATAGCAGTTGAAAGGAAATAAATATGGAAAATAAAAAGAAAATTTAAAAATAATATTTAAAAAGAATCATGAAGATCTTTTTTAAAATTCCTTTATAGATGTCTGCCTTTTCACTGAAATCCTATTCAAAATGTATTCCAGATGGTCTATTTAAAAAAAAAAAAACATGCATGTCTTTCTTCCTCTGGAATGTCTTTTAAATAACAAAGACCTTTTAATTGTATTAAAGGCATCCACTGCTGCTGCAGGTGTTATTGATTTTGTGTTTAAATCTTTTATAATAACACGGAAATGGAATATTGAAATAAAATGTTATCATAATCATTGTGGCTACATTTTATGAAGATTTATTTATTTAAAAGGAAATTATTTGTAAATTGTAAAAAACTAAAATATTTCAATGCTGAAAAAAAATATATATATTATTAATGAGCGCACGAAGCCTAAATTCCCGCGTAAAAAAAAAAAAATAATAATAACACTCGCGACATTGCGCAACGGCACTGCAAAGTGAAAATTAAACTAACAGAAACCAAAAGTGCGCA